ATTACTTCTACTACTATGGCTAACGCGTTTAGCAATAAAGTAAAGTAATTTACATGGCGTTTCTCAATGACACGCAGGTCATATAAAAAATAAAGACAACTCCTATGGCTCCTGCCGGTTGTCATACTGATCGACATGCAAGTCGTGATTCCTATTACAAGAACATGATCTCATACATCACATATATATCATTCATCACAACTTTTGGCCATATCACATCACAAAACACATGCTGCAAAAACAAGTTAGACGTCCTCTAATTGTTGTTGCATGTTTTTACGTGGCTGCAAAAGGGTTCTAGCAAGAACGTTTTCTTACCTACGTGAAAGCCACAACGTGATATGCCAACTTCTATTTACCCTTCATAAGGACCCTTTTCGTTGAATCCGCTCCAACTAAAGTGGGAGAGACAGACACCCACTAGCCACCTTATGCAACTAGTGCATGTCAGTCGGTGGAACATGTCTCATGTAAACGTACGTGTAAGGTCGGTCCAGGCCGCTTCATCCCACGATGCCGCCGAAGCAAAATAAGACTAGTAGTGGCAAGAAAGTTGACAACATCTACGCCCACAACAAATTGTGTTCTACTCGTGCAAAGAGAACTACGCATAGACCTGGCTCATGATGCCACTGTTGGGGAACGTTGCAGAAAATAAAAAAAATTCTACGCTTTCACCAAGATCAATCTATGAGTTCATCTAGCAACGAGAGAAAGGAGTGCATCTACATACCCTTGTAGATCGCGAGCGGAAGCATTCAAGAGAACGGGGTTGAGGGAGTCGTACTCGTCGTGATCCAAATCACCGATGATCCTAGTGCTGAACGGACAGCACCTCCGCGTTCAACAGACGTACAGTTAAGGAAGACGTCTCCTCCTTCTTGATCCAGCAAGTAGGAGGAGAGGTTGATGGAGATCCAACAGCACGACGGCGTGGTGGTGGATGCAGCAGTGATCTCGGCAGGGCTTCGCCGAGCTTCTACGAGAGGGAGAGGTGTAGCAATGGGAGAGGGAGGCGCCAAGAGCATGGGTGCGGCTGCCCTCCCCCCCCCCTCTTTATATAGGCCCCCTAGGGGGGCGCCGGCCCTAGGAGATGGGATCTCCAAGGGGGGCGGCGGCCAGGGGGGAAACTTGCCCCCCAAGCCAGGTGGAGGCGCCCCCACCCCTAGGGTTTCCAACCCTAGGCGCAGGGGGGGCCAAGGGGGGGCGCACCAGCCCACCTGGGGCTAGTTCCCCTCCCACTTCAGCCCATGGGGCCCTCCGGGATAGGTGGCCCCACCCGATGGACCCCCCCCCCGGGACCCTTTCGGTGGTCCTGGTACAATACCGGTGACCCCCGAAACTTTCCCGATGGACGAAACCTGACTTCCTATATATAATTCTTCACCTCCGGACCATTCCGGAACTCCCCGTGACGTCCGGGATCTCATCCAGGACTCCGAACAACTTTTGGGTTACTGCATACTAATATCTCTTCAACCCTAGCGTCACCGAACCTTAAGTGTGTAGACCCTACGGGTTCGGGAGACATGCAGACATGACCGAGACGCCTCTCCGGTCAATAACCAACTGTGGGATTTGGATACCCATGTTGGCTCCCACATACTCCTCGATGATCTCATCGGATGAACCACGATGTCGAGGATTCAATCAACCCCGTATACAATTCCCTTTGTCAATCGGTACGTTACTTGCCCGAGACTCGATCGTCGGTATCCCAATACCTCGTTTAATCTCGTTACCGGCAAGTCACTTTACTCGTACCGTAATGCATGATCCCGTGACCACACACTTGGTCACATTGAGCTCATTATGATGATGCATTACCGAGTGGGCCCAGAGATACCTCTCCGTCATACGGAGTGACAAATCCCAGTCTCGATTCGTGCCAACCCAACAGACACTTTCGGAGATACCCGTAGTGCACCTTTATAGTCACCCAGTTACGTTGTGACGTTTGGCACACCCAAAGCACTCCTATGGTATCCGGGATTTGCACAATCTCATGGTCTAAGGAAATGATACTTGACATTTGGAAAAGCTCTAGCTAAACGAACTACACGATCTTTGAGCTATGCTTAGGATTGGGTCTTGTCCATCACATCATTCTCCTAATGATGTGATCCCGTTATCAATGACATCCAATGCCCATAGTCAGGAAACCATGACTATCTGTTGATCAACGAGCTAGTCAACCAGCGGCTTACTAGGGACATGTTGTGGTCTATGTATTCACACGTGTATTACGATTTCCGGATAACACAGTTATAGCATGAATAACAGACAATTATCATGAACAAAGAAATATAATAATAACCATTTTATTATTGCCTCTAGGGCATATTTCCAACACCCTGCACCCCTTCCCTCCGAGCGCCTGCGCGGATTACGCCGTCCGACGCCATTGGGACAGAGGATGATCCGACCGCTGGCTAGGGTATTCCGGAGAGCTTTGCAACCACACAGATGGCGGCGGTCAACATGTGTGACTCGCCGCAGCTCGTTCAGGTGCGGATGAGCACGGGCTCTGGCAGTGCCGGGCTGCCCTCGACATGTTCAACGGAATGACCGAACGAGAGTCGGTGTGTTTTCTTTCCTCTTGTCCGATTAGATTTTAGCATGGACCACTAGTTCATTTCGCTCATGATGAATGATTGTAAACTATAATCATGTAGGAGGTGTTCTTGTCGAACATGATCAATGACAATGAAGATCCAATCAAAATGGAGTATGAATTGGAGGCCACCACCGCATTTGAAGTTGGGACAACATCCGATCCCAATCCGAGCAAGAAGAAGAAGACCAAGAAGCCGAAGGCAAGAGGTCCGGCATTCTCAAGATTTGAGGGCATCTTGTTGGTCAAAGCTTGGTTGGCCACAACGATGGATCCAATATGCGGCACCGAGCAAAAGGGAATACCTTTTGGACGAAGATTTGGAAGGAGTATCACGAGAAAAACGAGTATGTGGAGCCACATCCTATCGTGACTACTCGCAATGTGGCATCTCTCCAACATCGTTGGGGGGTCGTTCAAGGGGAAGTGAACAAGTACGTCGGCTGCTACTCATAAGTGACCAAACGCCCTCAAAGTGGGATGGGAGTCGCAACTCACGTAAGCTCGATTGCCTCATCTTGCCGTCCATTGCATATGCTTCTTGTGTTTGCATTCTCGTGCTCATACATATGTTGTTTGCTAGACGGAGATGGCGGCCACTTTGTATCACGAGGTGGAGAAGAAGCCATTTGCTTTTAGCCATTGTTGGGTCATATTGAATGGCAAGTCGAAGTGGAACCAAGTCGTGGCCGACCTCAAGTCCGGCAAGAAGAGGAATGATGGCTCAAGCTCCAACCAATGAAGAGGACGATGTTGTCGTGGCGAATGGAAAAGCCACTGTACCAAAGGACAACCGCTAAGTCATGGGAAACAAGTGGGAGAAGGCACGTGCCGCCCGTGATGCCGCGGGTACCAAAATGTCCACATGGACGGGCATTTTTTCAGTGAGGGAGAACAAGAAGGAGGAGAGGTACAAGCTCATGTTGAATGCACAAAAGGAAAGGATGGAGTGTGACCGGAAGAGGACGGAGAAGAAGCTGAAAATTGAGAGGGAGACGATCGAGTTGGAGAAGCAACAAGTGGCGATCAAATGGGAGCTCGAGAAGGCCAAGACATTTGGCGACATAGAGCTTGACAAGGAGAGGTTGCAATTCGCACGGGACGCGGAAGATGCGGGGATCATGTTGACGGACGAGACCCTCCTGGATGAATATGCGAAGAAGTGGCTTGCGGACAAGAAGGAGATCAACAACCATAGGGACTACGAGACAGCGAGGGCGGTTGCGGCCCGGATGCAGGCGGAGCAGGCAGCCCGGCTGCAGGCAGAGCAGGACGAGCAGGACGCCTTCTGCTCGGAGCTGGCGCCCAACCAGTGATACGAGGCCATCTGTCACGCTCGGACACTGATTTCATTTTGTCATGTCCGGTTTGTTGAACTATAATTTGCTTTGTTTCAAATTTTGGCATTCGGACAGTTTGTATCCTATGATCGACGTGCATGGATTGCATGGATTTGAGGATCGAAATTTGCAGTAGGATATGCGGTGCAACATTTGAGGGGTATCCCTAACGCGTTCATGGACATTTGAGGGGTCGGATTTGCCAAACCCGGTTGTAGATGCTCTTAGGTATTTTTACACCCATGCTCTTAGGACATGTACAATGGTTGATAAGATAGTCTTATCTTAAGTCTTGCATGTGCTTTAGAGATGACAAAAAAATGTGTCTACAATGAGTCATCTCTTAGCCTTATCTTCAATAACTAACAATTCTTAAAGATGTGGTGAGACATATTATGCTAAGAGATCACTTCTTATCTTCTCCATTTTCTTATGAGTTCTTTCTCCTTTACCTCATCATCTATCCTACGTGGCATTTCTAAGATAGCACCATTGTACATTCCCTTAGGATGTGGGGGAGGAGAGAATGCGGGAGGATATGGCACCGTTCGCGACCACCGCTTAAAGCAAAAGATGACGTGGCTGGTTTCGCATGCGCTAAGATTAGTTTCACGTGCTCTACGATTAGTGAACGTGATGGACGGTGATAGCAACGTTTCGGATGCGATTCCAAAAATCTGACACGTTCGGCAGATATCGTTTCCGTTTATTTATTTTTGACATCATATACGCATTTGATTAATCGGCTGTCAGGCAGTAAGATATACGCAGAACATGAATGAATCATTTGGAAGCAAAATCAAAACAGTGTCGCTCTCAATGCTCCGTCGAGAATTAGCCGTCGGATATGGTGAACGAACATTTGTCTCCATCTAGTGTACCAAACAATAGTGTACACGTTATTATCGGAGGGTTCTAGTGCTACCGTGTCAAACCGATCACCGCAACCCACCCAGTCAAAAATGTTTTCCTCAGCCCTCGGGTATCAGGGGTGCCGCAGGATTTGCAGCTGCCGCGTCGAGGTGTCCAGCAGCGGTGTTGCTTCTCTACGCTGCTTCAGGCTGACGGGTGAGCTTGTCCAGATCCACGGAAATATCGAGGCCCGACTTCGACATGGAGCTGATCATCTTTGGGATGTCCTCAATCAAAGCTTCCTCCATTGCCTGGAATATTCAGAGACTGTGTTACTAGTCGAATGCAGACCTCAACGTATTATTCATGTACCCAGTGGTTTTTCATACTAGGAGAATAGTGCAAGAACATATAGGCTAGTGACCCGAGTTGTGAGGTGAAAATTAAACTGCCAGGACCTACAAACTGCAGAAATTGAACCAAAGATCGTTTATATAATCTCACCTTCCTCTCATCTTTCTTCTGCCTTTTTATCACCTCTGTTGGCCATTCAGCAACAAGCTTTTGGAGCTCATCTTTCACAAATGGTTTCTTCTGATCAGGCAGGTGCTACATGCAAGCAAATGTCGATTCTGTAAGTAAGAACTGGCTACCAACTCTTTTGGCATCCAGATTTCCTGGAGTTGTGAAAAAATATCTGTACAAACTCAAAAATGCCAATAAATAGCATGGGATAGAAAAGCTTTAGGAACATAGCCACATAAGATGAAGTAAAACACAGTGAGGAAGAGCCATTTTCATCTTGAGAGAAACCAGTGCATGTTCTTGCCTTTTTGGTAATGAAGGAATTCCAGTATTGTAGGAATACAAGTCTAATAACAGGATGCAGTCGAACAATAAGACTTTATCAAGAAGGGAAATAAGAGGCTGCTGGTTGATATGAAGCAATACCAGTATTTCAGGAACACATATCTAGCTAGCAATTAGCATTGTGTAACCAACCTTGTGAAGAAGTTTAATGGTGGCAGCTGCATTATCTGGCCTGCGTTCAAGCAGAGACCCCTGCAACAAGACAATTCATAATGGGTCTTGCATTAGAAGAAATTAGTGTAGCAACGAGGGTGAAACATTAATATGAAATATTTTAGTACAAAAGTGAACAAATTCAGTAAGTTCACACGAAATGAACATTAGAAGAATCAGCATCATAGTTTTATCACTATGTACAAAATAGTGTGCATACCAGGAGCAATTACCTTTACGCATGCAAAACCTGATGTAAGAGTATAGTGCTTGATAGACTTGCCTCTCAGGCTATTGATGTTCCATATAGATTGAGAATCTCCTGCAGAAGCAGAAATATATTACTAAAGCATCCTTCACAGAACAAAACCCTCTACTTTCTGTCAAAAGAATAATGGTCTAAGATGCAACGGTTGAAGCTTTAAAGTTTAAAAAGCAACAGCAAAACTAAGATTTGACTGGTCAACAACGGAAAATGGTTATTATGAGTGACAACATCACAACACAAAATTAACAGAAACAACATTTTTCACAACATCACTCTCCTGATGTTATAATGAGGATTACTACCTTAGGAGCGAGCCAGGCCACTTGCAACGAGCAGTGGAACATATTTAGTCCATCCCTAATTGGCTAACTTGTAGCAATTTCTTGCTGTTTTTCGGCAGAGGTCCAGAACAGCCATGCATCACTAACACAGCTAACCTCAAGCTTAGGTTGACTGTTACACTATAATTTACATAAGAAGAGTCAAACTGCTTACCAACTTTGGCAGCAAATTCCATCCATACGTCAAATGCAGTACGACGCAACTTGACTCCAGCCTGAACAAATCTTGCCGCATATTTTGAGAGTAAATCCCATCTATCAGTGTTATAGCAGATACTGCAAAATACAAAAGGTATTCATGGAATTAATACTTAAACATGATCAGAGTCTTGGCCCAAAAAGGAAAACCGAAATACAAATCAAAATCACAATGAAAAAACTCTGCGATACAATTACTGAAGGATACACATATTAAACATACTTCTGGGCTATGCGTAGATGTGTAATTAATATCTAATAAGATAACATTTGGAAGATTTGTTAGGCAAAAAAGAAAAGACAGATACGATGCAGTAAAACACCAGAACTGGTTTAAATTCTCCAAAGAGCTCTTCAACTATGTACACTTTCACTTTAATCTAAAAGGGTAGGACTTCGCATGCTACGATATGAGAAGTTTTAAACACTGAAAGAGAAGAATTGTATACATTGGTAAATAGCAACTGAGAACAGATGTAAGCATACCTGAAGACAATATCAGCAGTGCCTGGTTGTAATGGCAAGGAATTCCTTCTAAGGACTTGCATTATCTTCTCCATTAGTTTAGTATCATTGTGCTCTTTAGCATGTTGCTGTAAAAGGAAAAAAAATCATTACAAAGCAACTTGGGAAGTGATCAAAAGAGTTAGTAACAATGGATACCAGTAGATAATGGGCAGAACCAATGGTTGGCGTTATTCCATAAACATTATGATTCCATAAAACCTTCAACCCTGCATTCATGGCACAAAGATGAATTACAGGTTTGGGGTTCCATTGGCCATAACAATGTGGCATTGACGCAAAAAAAGTAGCACAAAAAAGTGACATTATTTTACCCCCATAGCTGGAAAGTTTTTTGGGGGGATGGGTATCGTTTACATGCAGTATATGAAAGTCAGCATTTACATAACTGCGATATGACACCACACATTGCCATTTCCACTTATCAAATGCTTCCCAGAAAATAAGGTTAACAAATTTAGCCACATGTTCTTTCTTGTTTGAATATCTATAAAGCATCCTTCTTTAATCATTTTCATTAGGATTTAGTACTCAAGGCATAAGGCCTACAAGGCAATCTAGAGCTAAATACTATAAATATATCCAAACAACGATTTATGTGCCAACAAAAGGCCAGAAAGAAACACACGTTAACAAATAACCACAGATTTTTCAGATTGTTAAATAGAATCATACCATAGTCAACGACACCCACACGAGCACAAGCCTCAGAAACTTTCATACAGAGATGGTCGTTGAAGTTTGCATTGATGCGAAGATTTGATAGCCTCTGCATCAATAGAAAAAGTGTTGGTTTCAGACAGCATCTAGTCACAAAAATATAACTAGAAGTATGAAGAACACCCTTTGCCTGTCTACCGTCTGGAAGAAAACTATTAACTATAAGCGGGAAGAAAAGACTGACATGAGAAGCTGCTAACTATAGTTAGATACTTCATGTGCTAGCAATCCAAGAGTCTGGACAATCAATTGACATCATGATCCAAGAACATAGCACTGTAACCCATATGTATATTTAAAGTCATGGTAGAAAATTGTCAATATGTTCAACATACAATGGAAATTCTATGTTAAACTCGGGTAAGTGGGCGGCTACGTTTCATAGAAACAAAAAAGATCCTAGAAATCAAGCGCAGATGTTTCACGTAACTGTCACCAGGTGGTGGCAAATTGGTGATACCACAAATGAGAATCTGTTGAGATAATAACACTACGTGATGCAAGCATGCAGCCTACTAAAGGAAGCATTCTTAGCTTAAGAGGAAAATATATGTGACTTACGAATATTCTTAGCTTCTGCAAAATCTGAAAGAGAAGTTTTATATCCTCCTCACTGGAGCAACTACTGATCATTGACCACAACCAGGCATTTGGCGGCATAGTCTGGGCTTCAACAGACTTCAGCATTTTCTGGTACAGCTCCTCTGCAGATTCTGCAGCAAATCATGACATGAGCAAATGCAAACACTATGTTAAAAAAATGCCAAAAGGGAAGGCTGATGAACATTAGGAAATTTGCAATTAGTAAATACAATAACATAGAAACATGTGCCCAATTACATTATATTGTAACAATATGACATGAGACCACTTAGACAAAAACTGATTGTGGTAGATAAATATATAAAAGCATACAAAATCAATTCACACGTACAGAAGAAAGGCAACGTAAATTTGCTAGAAAACGTAATTCAATGAACTATTTGTTTTGCTTTCTGAAAATGGTTCATTTATCTGCAAACATTGTATATGTCTACAGCATTCATTCGAGCATTAAGAGTCAGGACGGAACACTGATGAGTCCACATAATAGATGGCAGGCCAATACTTGTAAGAGAAATTCTTACATTGCTAACTTAATAAAGATACATAGTAAAACAATACATAGTAAAACACTAGTGAAACATAGTAAGTTAACGAATGTAGCACATAGCGGCAAGGATTAACGGAAGAGGAGGAACAAAAGACAATGACAGGACCATCGCAGAGCATAGTACTCAAAAGTAACCTTTAGGTTGGTCGATTCCGCTTGAGTCTGTCGACAAATGAGCTCTGGCCATGTGATATCCGCTTGAGTGTGCATAGCTACACAAGCACACTGATTTCTTACACCGGCAGTGAGAAGTTACGGTTCGCGATAGCAAAGTACCTAAATTATCCAAATAAATGTAGTTAGCTCAGCTGTTTTGTAAGTAGTTTGCACTACCTAATTATTTTTCTCAGAGAGATCAGAAGCAACAGAACAATAAAATAATAACCATGGCTCCCTAAAATCAATAGTCATGTGGCTTCCATGCAAACTAAACGTACACGTGCAGAGCATAGCTAAACGACCACACAAGCATGTGGAGACTTAGTAATATAGAGTATGTTCTATGATGATATATTACTAGGTCCTGAAGTAAATCAAGTAAGGCAAATACACCACAAAGCAACTGCATAGCCACTCTCAACTAATAATCCAGCACATAATCCAAAACGTGCCTCACCAAAGAAGTTGTCATCCAGGATACAGATCTCTATACCATACACAAATAATCACATCCCTAAGTCCCACCTAATTGGCCGTGAATTGACCTCAAAACACTCGGCAACAGCAGAAAACCACAGCCTCGTTCCAAAAACTATCACATAAGCCTTCCAGAGCAGAGAATGACGCACACTCCGAACATTTCCATCGCCCTAAACCCTTAAACCCTCAGCTTCATACGCTATTCGGGTGCCGTTATCCCCAAGCTTCGCCGCCTGCTCCTAGAACATGAGCGGGACTAACAAAATGAAACCCTCGATGCCGTGAGCTCGAGATCGTACAGCTAGCGCGCCACCCTTCCTGCCCACCACCAGTTCGACGAAATGCCGCACCAAATAACTCGGAAGCAGCGCGCTGCCGATGTCGTCACCATCAAGATGGATGTTTTGAGGCGAGAGAACTCACGAGGTAGGTGGGAGGAGAAGCTCCTGGTGTGATCTGGAGAGGAGCGCGAGGCGGGGAAGCCATTCTCGAGATGGGGCAGGAGCGCGAGCTCGGCGGCTGCCGCGCACCCGCGGTGAGAGGCGGAGAGGATTCCCTGGATCCCGGAGGCCGCCGGTGACGCGAGGAGGCGGCGCGCGCGCGCTGCGGCGGCCTGCATGGCTCGTCCTTCTCCGTGCGGCGGCCGGAGGAGAGGGAGGAGTCTGGGAGGAGGAGATGGAGGCGGCCTGAGCTGGGCTGTTTGTGAGTCTGGATAGTTCGTCTGGGCTTCCGGCCCAAAATATCCAACGTCTCTGCGCTACTGTTTGCCACCTCGATCTGAGCCGTAGAAAGCTGACCGAAAGGTGGAGAGAAGTCCACGCCACACTTACCAAGAGTGTAGTTTGGCATAAGCTCACGCTGTACCTGGCCATGGGCAGCCCGGCCGGACGTCCCGACCCGACCCGGCCTGAAAAAGCCCGACCCGACCTGACCTGATGTTGCTCACAGGCTGGGCCTGGGCTTGGATTTTGAGCCCGAAGGCCAGGCTGGGCCCGGGCCCGTTGTATTTGTGATTTAACGAAGAGGCCCGCCCAAGGCCCGGTGAGCTTTTACGCTGATGGCTCGGGCTTTGGGCCTAATTTTTAGGCCCGACACCCGGGCATGGGTTTTCTGTGTCGGGCTTGGTTAGGCCCGGCCCGAGGAATGGCCGGGTATAGCTCACGCAGAGCATCTCCAACAGCCGTCGTGCCAAAAACGGTCGTTTAGACATTTTGAGCATCTGTTGCTGCACAAACTCTTTTAGTGCCTAAAAAGCTTTTCTCCTATCCTCATTTTTGGGCACCAAACTTCTTCATCGGAGCATCTCTAGCAAATCCTATAAAAGCAGTCAAACTTTTAAATTTATTGTACAAATTATAAAAAACATACCAAATAGATCCTGTAAAATAGCAGATCCCATAATTTTTTTAAGGTTCTCGTACATTAGAGCAACCATCCGTTATATACCGAGCCGTTTTTTTGAGGGAACCTGTAAACCAGTTAACGTCGGAGTAGGGACTTGGCTACGCCGCGCGCAAGCAGCGAACAGGCGGAGGAGCTGGGCAACAGCTGCCTGGAGCATCATTGGAGCACAGGACGGGTCGGAGCATCGCCAGAGCATCGCGAAGCGGCGTAATTTTGGGTCGGCCAGAGTTCGAGTTCATCCATGCGTGCATCCCGAGAAAAAACGTGCGGAGAAAAAAGAACTCCTACGGTACGGGTTTACGGGATTTGTTCCGTCTGATGTTTCACTGTACGTAAATTCATTTTAAGGGGGCATGTTGTCTTGAGATTTTGGGAAGAGTTGTTCTTTAGAGAGCACAATATGATGAAAGTTTTAAGCTATGTTCGGGAGGAGTTATTATCTATGGTTGGCCTCATGGTAGAACCCGTTGGGAAGGCCTGAGAGGCGGGTGGTTTACCCTGCGGCGGATGCCAGCGGTTCGGATCCGCTTATCTGTCGAACAAACTTTCACGTGTGCGATCCAATTGCCCTTGAAAGCGCACGTGTACAATTGACGAAGACAGGAACGCATTTTGCATCGTGTGCGTGTGTGTTTCGTACGGTGACGTGCATGTGAGTCTCTGCATTTGTATTGTTTTCAAAAAAGTAAAATCGACTTCAAACCAGTCGTACACACGCGCGATCGCCCATAGCTAGGGTTCATACATCAAATATGTTCCCAAGTTATACACGCCAAACTTCGCGAACCAAAACGCAAAATGTCACCGACGGAACGAAGCCAGATCGATCTGAGTCGAGTCTCTCTGTCTGTCTAGAGCTTGAAGAGCTTCCTGAGGTTCATGGGCGAGATGTATTTGCTGTCGCCGTCGACGATGTACTTGGCGAGCAGGACGTTGGCCTTCTCGCTGGGGTGGTAGGGGTCCCAGAACACGTGGTTCTCCCGGTCGTCGCACATGCTGGACGTCGGCCCGCACGGCACGATCCCGGCGTACCTGCCGCCGTTGCCGCAGCAGGCCACGCTGGCCGTCGAGAACCCGTACTTCCTGTGGTTGGCGATGAGCTCCATCACCAGGTCGTACACGTTGGCCAGCAGGAACCTGCCTCCCGGCAGCCCGCCGGCGTTGAGCTCGATGAGGAGGTCGCGGAGGCGACCGTTGTACTGCGCGGCGAGCGTGTTGGGCAGCTTCACGCACTCGTCGTCCTTGACCCGGTTCAGCGTCTTCTGGTACGGGATGCACCCCAGCGGCCCCACGTTGGCCACCACGAACTTGCGCGCGCCCAGCGCGTGCAGCCGCGTGAGCTGCTCCCGGAGGTGGATGATGAGGTCGTCGATGAAGCCGTCGGGCGACTCGGCCACGCGCGTGCCGGCGGAGAGCACCGGCATCAGGTAGTTGTTGAGGAAGTCGTTGGAGCCGACGGTGATGGAGAAGATGGCCTTCTTGTGGATGAACTCCCGCGCCTTCTCCTTGCCCAGCAGGCCGTCCAGCTCCCGCCGCGTGATGTTGAAGTAGTCCACCTGCACGTCCATGCCGATCCGGTTCACGAACACCCGCCCCGTCCCGTTCAGGATCCCCGCCCCGCCGGACGCGTAGTTCACGCCGTTCAGCAGCGCGCCGCCCGTCGTGTTCGGCGCCAGGAACGGCGGCGAGTAGTCCGCCTGGCCCAGCATCTCCCCTGGAAAATGGAGTTTACGTCTGTTTTAAGTGACACAGTGATGGCAACTTTGCGTTGTTTCTTACTAGAAAAAACAGAGTGCGATGGCAGCTCTAAGCTCATCGTACAAGGATAATATATTCAGTACTTGAAAATGTTTCGTGTTACAAGGACTGAAATTACCTATGATGTCGGCGATGGTCCGGCCGTTGGTGAAGCGGCCGGTGGGCGTCCCGCCGGAGGCGGCGAAGTCGATGCCGTTGGGGTTCATGTCGGCCTTGGAGAGCGTGGAGAGGTAGTTGTTGTTCCCAGCGTCGACCAGCGAGTCCCCGAAGATGAAGGACGCGCCGGGCGTGTCCTCGTCCACGGTGTCCTCCCCTCTCACCCTCACCACCGCCGCCGCGCACAGCACCGCCACGACGGCCATAGCCACCGCCGCCGCCGAAGCCATTCTCCCCATGCAGATCAAGCCTCGAGTCAGCTTGCCACTCGCAACGACAGCACGCACGTACGAACTGAGCTGACACCACAAGAGCAGGGTATATAGGCAGCGAGGCGCGCGTTAGGTGGCGCGGTCGATGACTATCTGGACCTTATGTCACCTTCTCCTAGCTCAGGATCTCCATGGGAGCGAGACCATGGATGGGAGAAGAACACACGGCTCGATGGATCGACTGTGGCTTGTGGGATTCGTGTCTGCAATGGGGGTGCTTGATATGGAAGCTCAGTGGTGGAGGGTTTGGTTTGCTGGTTTGACGCATGTGGTGGACAGTGCTAGATATGGTAGTTAAGCAAACAAGCGTTACGTCTCACTCTCCTGCACGTATGCCTCGAGTCGAGAGTGGAGACGTATGCGCGCGACCGCCGGAGTCAGCAGGGACGGGTGATGCGCGTTGGGCGCTCCCGAAAAGCGGCGCCTTTCCCCCTGCGTTGGCGCGGTTGGGTGGGGGTTTAGGTGGCCTGAAATAACCAAACGATGTTGCACGCGTTCCAGGGGTAGAGATGTACTACTCTCGTCGTTGTCTGGCAGATGGTTTCTGTGGATATATGTTTTTTTTTTGCGGCGAGGGAATAGATAGATGTTGATGATGGAGAACCTGGGGTGCATTAAGAAAATTGTGATGGAGATTTTTTTTTTTACTTTTCCATTTTCAAGCTAGTGAGGCAAATTCTTTTTTTAGAGGATTTACAACCGGACTGGACAAATCCAACACCCAGAATGTGCTCGCGGGCGAGACCAGATGTGCCGCGGACAGCACCCGCCAGCCATGGCGGAGACAGGGGTGCCAGCTAGGGCCCACATGCAATGTTTTTCACTAGAACACTGAGTATTTATGCTAAAACAGTGTATTAGTTTTGCATTTAGTTGGTTTGGCCCTCCCCAAGCTAGTTTATCAATCCTTCCCCTTGGCCACCCTTATTCAGTTTTTCTAGCTCTTCCACTGCCCGCCGGCTCCTTATTTGTTCTCTCTGACAACCACGCTTCTTATATGCAACCCTCATATTCATGCAAATCCATACACACCACCATATAACAAAAACTCATCATCAATTCAACAATTTGATGATACAAAATAAAAGACAATTCAACAATTTATTGCATGGCAAAAAAAATTCAACAATTTATTATATGCCAAAATAAAATTCAACAATTCATACATAGATAAACAATACAAAAATGAATGAAACACCTCCATTGTTGCCCTCGTTGATCCTCTTCTTCGTGCCGATCAACCACTTCTTGCCTTCATCATCCAAAATGTTAGTGCCCTGCAACATGATCCTCAATTCTTTCATGTCTATTGCAAGCCTCTAGCTAGCTAGCTAGCTCTCTCTCTCTCTCTCTCTCTCTCTCTCTCTCAATTCCTTGCAACGTCGTCGCCTTTTCAACCTCCCATTTTGCATACTTCTCTTACTCCTCCAATTCTATTTTCTCCCTCTCCATGTTCAACCTTTCCCAGTCGAACTGCATCTTCCCCCTTTGCACATTTATGAAGATCTTGTACCTCTCCTCCTCCTACACCTATTTGCAGAAAAAAACATGTCCATGTGGCACACATTTGCTTGTCGCGCCATCATGTGCGACCCGCTCCTTCTCCCACTTGTTTCCTATCACATACCAGTTCCTCTTCGGCACGGTGGCTTGTATGTCCGCCACTCCACTATGTTTTTCTTCGTCATCAAATCCAATTGATTGATTGGAGCTAGACCCATCGTATTTCTTCATCTTCTTGGTGTCATTTTGGAGGGCCTCAAGGATGGTTTGCCACTTTGATTTCCCATTTAATTTCAACCAACAATGGGATGAAGTGAAGGCTTCTTTCGGTTTGTTGGTACAAACTTGCCGCTGATATGTCCCAAACGTATATACTTTTCCAAAAACTTTTAGTCTTGTTTTGATCTCTAATTTTCATAATTTGAGTTAAACTAACCTAGCCTGACGTTGTTTTCAGCAAAACTACCTTGGTCTATTTTTGTGCAGAAATAAAAGTGCTCGAAATTGGACATGAATTTTTGGAGAA